AAAGTTGACAGCTCCTTCTGTGCTGTCCTGGGGTAGGATCCTTGCTCCTTTGTAGCACCAGTGGCATTCTGCAACATGCCTGTCTTCACCTTCTGCTTGTTTGTGATTCTGATCAGTAGGGTGATGTCAGATGTAACTTTGACCTCCACGTTGTTGCACTTGGCTTCTCACAGACCCCACCACTGTGTGAGGTGTTAGAGGTTTGCAGCTGCAGAGCTTTATAAACCTTTTCTTTGATTTCCTGAGCTAGCTGGCCAGCTGCTGACAGTTATTTGTTTTCTTGGTAGGGGCTGCTTGTCCTAAAAGTGGTTAAATGCTTTTGTGATGTCTCTGTTGCAACTTGTTAGTGCATTGTCAAAATACCCTTTAATGGCCTGTGGTGTGTGATAAATAAATACCTGATAATTGAAAATTGCCTGATTGATCATCTTGATTCTTAATTGGAACATAATTGAGTTTTTCAAGAAATTCCTAATTCCATGTGCCAATTGTAGGAATCTGGTAATTCTTTACATGTTCTAAACATAAAGGTTTATGTTTCAGTGGCTCCCACTTGTACTCTGTATGTACAGTTTAAAAAAAAAAACCAACTTGTATGTGCTCTGCCTCAGGTACTGTGTTCATTAATGCTCTCTGCAGGACATAAATTATAGTGGATATGATGAGATCCTGGAAATACTTCTAACAGTGTAGAGAAAGTTAGATCCTGTAGAATCTCTGAATTTGTTATAAACCCATTCTTTTTCTGGCTTAACCCGTGAGCAGAAATCTCATTGCAAATTGGCATTTTCAGTAACCTTCCGCACTTACTGCATGGGGTGGTTTTCTGATAGTCAAAAGAGAAAGCAGTTACTAGTTACACTAGGGTTTTTTCCTACAAAAATTAATTTAGCAGCTAGGGTTAGTCTTGGTGGCAGTGGTCAGAAGATAACATAAAACATCTTTTGCAGGATGTTTAGAGGCAGAGGACACAGCCCGTCTTAATGATGTTATGGAGCTTCTCATCCACATTGCCACGGTGAAGAAAATCTACGCGGCTTTCAAACATTCTAAGCGGGGAGCTGCGGTCACTGGTGCATCTATGGTTGTTGGTGCGGCACTGCTTGGCCCAGTTGGGTTGGCTGTAGGTAAGTGTGCTTGGCTTTAGGAACAGGAGAGTGGTTAAATCCCTGAGGGAAGAAATGAGCTGGTGTGGGTTGAAGGAAAGGGGCATTCAGGGTTGAGATTTCCTGCTGCCATGAGGGGGAGGGGGAATAAGCCTTAGCATGGGGCAGGATCATTTCTCACTAAAAATGATGCTTATTTCTATATATTAAAGGTTCCTGATATCCATGTCCTGATGAACTTGGGGGTTTTCCCACTGGGATTCATTATTCCCTGTCACTTGCTTTTCTTCTTGTTAAGGACAGTTACAGAAAAGCCAAAGTCTAATAGTACAGAATTGTTTCTCCTCTGTAAGAATGGAATTAAGAGTTGAATAGTTTGAAAGCTGCCTTGTTGCTGAAGACATGTGGGCCCTGGCCCAGGAATGTTCAATGTCCTGTGAGCAGTTGCAGGAATTGCACAGGCTTACTGATGCTGGAGTGAATTGCAGTGTGCCTCCAGCAGGGTGAGTTACAAAAACTAAGAAATAATTTGTGAGGAGTGATAAGAGAAAGTGCAAAGTGAAGCTGTGTATTTAGTCCTAGTGCAGGTTCAAAACTTAGTTAATAGCCAGAATAGTATGTTGACACATGTATGACTGAAGCTATCAGGAACAAAGAAGGGAAATCAAGCTTTTGTAAGGAATTTGTAAGGTAATGTAAGAGGCCTCATTCTTGTGTGACATGAAGAGAAATACTGAAATTATTCATGCGTGTATTTTCTCTTTTAAGTGTTTGTCTAAGCTTTCATAGTATCTCCCAGTCAAGCTTGGTGTTCTTCCACCACTGAGGAAGGCACTGGAACAAGTATTCCTATTATTTTATACTGAAAGTATACAATGATAAGTATATATACTACTAGTAATAAGTCCTGTGTAACAAACTTTGAGCCACGGCTCAATTACAGTGTCACTAAATCATAACCCTCTCATTTAAATTTTAAAATTGGAGAGGTCAATAAGCCAGATAAGTTTAGGACAGGCCTTTTTGATGCTTTGAATACTGTGTATGAATCTAGTTAAAGCAGAGACATAGACAACTCTGTCTTGATTTCTGATCATGGTGGGAGCTTTGTTGGTGAAGGCTGGATGGAATTCCAGGCTTTAACATTAACTGCTAAAGACTAATGATTCTTTTTGTTTCCTAGGAGGAGCAGTGGGTGGATTGCTTGGATGGATGACTTCTGAAGATTTCAAGCCAGTTCCTCAGGTTTTAATGGAATTGTCTCCTGCTGAGAAGCAGAAACTCTGTGCTGAAGCCATGGCTGTTGTCAAGAACTTTGACTGGACTGATGCTGCTGAGCTGATTAAATTTGTAATGGCAAATTCTTTTATCAGAGATAAAGTATTAGGAGTGCTGACCACTTTCCTTACCAATGAGTTCAAAGCACAAGTAAAATATGGAAAATGATCCCCTCCAGAGCCGGTTTTTATACTGAACAGCCTTTTACTCGCATCTTGAATCTTCAATGCAACAATTCCTAGTTATCTGTACTAATTATAAATATATGCTGATCTAAGTAATTTTGGGGTGTTCGGTTTTGGTGTTTGGGGATTTTTAAATTTTTATCATTGTTGTTACCATTTTTGATTCATGTGGATTTGTAATCATAGTATTAGGTTACTGCATTATCCTGACACTGACCGGCTATGAAGTTTTGGATTGCTCTGCACTAGGACCAGTTCAAATTGCTGAAGGGAATCATGCTGCTCTTAGGCTAATGTGTCACTTGTGAAAATTTACAAAGTCCTTTTGTTTTATTTCAGAGACTTGATTTGTGTCCCCATCTCTTCACCAGCTGTTATTGAAACACTTGATGGACTTCTGGCCTGTCTAATCAATCAGTTGATATTGTCTTGCACACTGTTATTTGTGGAGTTGTATTTGTTCATTACTTGGATCTTGAGCCTTATGGAATGAGATAATCTGAAACTCTAGGAGCAGAGTGTGAGGCTCTGAAGCGCTTTTTTATTGGTACAGACAGCCTCCTGCCTTTAAACATGTAAGAAAACAGAGAGAGGAACTGATATGTGAAAATAATTGACTGATTTGAGGTAAAAATTAGGACAATGAGAAGATACCTGACTCATTAGTCAATTATAATCTGCTCGCTGTGGCAGAGTGAAGCTCTGTCTTTTTCCCAGAGCTGTGTGTGATGCTGAGCACACATGGGAATTGTTCAGGCCAACAGCAATGTACTGAAGAATTTCATTCTGTAGACTGTCTGTTATAAACCCATTTTTTTTCTGGTCAAACCTGAGATCTCATTGACATTTCCAGTAAACTCCAGCAATTCCTGAAAGAGGTGGATTTCCAAGAATCAAAAGTGAAAGCATTTACTATTTTCTGTGTTTTTTCCTTGAACAATAGGGATTTCTTCTCTCCAGTTACATTTTGCAGCTAGGTTTCCTCTTGGTTGCAGTGGTCAAAAGGTAACTTATAAAATCTTTTGCAGGATACCGAGCTGCCAGTATGGCAATTTGTGTTTAATGAGATGAGTTTTAATGTTTTTGCAATGAGTCAGGGAAAATATTTTTAATTTTGAGGCTTAGCTCAGATTTTGAAGATATTACCACAGTGTGCTGTGCTCAGTACCTCTACAGCAGAAGACCAGGCTGTAAAGGAAGGATTTTCAGAAAGTGATGGTTTAGGAGCCAGATGCTGCTGGTGCTTACAGGATGTGTGGGGACCAGAAATGAGATAGTGCTCCTTTGCAGATGGGCTCAGGATCTTGAGTCCCTGTCTGTCCACCAGCTGTTATTGAAATTATTGATGGATTTCTGGCCTGTTCAATCAATCAGGTGATGTTTGCACTCTGTTGTTTGTGAAGTTGTGTTCTTTAGTCTGTCTCAGTGTGTGAGTACCTTGTGTTTGGATTTTCTCCAGTGCTGTTCTCATATTTCTTATAAAAGGTTGCAGTTCATAGAGAGCTGTTACTGGAGAGTTGAGACAGAAGAAATTGTCACCTCCCATTCTTGTTCATCACCATATGGCATCCACAAAGAGAAAGACAGGTAAGAAGATTTATGTGTGTACCTTCTCAGTGGGTTTGGAATGTGCTGTGTGGGTGGGATTTGTGCTGTGCTCGTGGCAGAGATGTTCCCTCAGTTCCCTCCATGAGAAGCTGTAAGGAGCAGTGAGGACAGCTCAGTGGTGGGGCAGGCTGGGGGCTGCTGGGAATGTCTCCTGTGTGGGCATTGGGGAAGAGGCTCATTGTTCTCTGAGTGGGATAGTGAGTGCAGGGCTAGAAGGGCTTTTGCTTGTCTGAAGTCATCATTTGGTGAAGGGGAAGGAGGCTGATGAGATGGGAATGTTACCCTGGGAGCAGCTGAAATGAGGCCCACACCATTGAGTCACCTGGGAACCCTCTGCTGCTGTTTGTGTTTGCAGGACTTTCAGTGAGTTGGGGATGATGTTGTTGTTTTAATTCTTTCAGTGGCATTTTTCTTCTGAAGGAAACCTGCTGGCTGTAGGCTCAAGGTTGAGATGTTGGAACATGATCTCTTTGGAGAGGGAGAGCAGGAGCATTGCTCACTTTGTTCCCTGCCCGTGGGGAGAAAGTGAGCGAGGGAGCATCAAGTGAAGTACAGAATCTAAGACTTGGGATGAGTATTGGGGAGACCACAAAGACACAAGGAGAGCAGCCATCAAAGTGCAGTAGAACAAAACCATTGCACAACAGAGCTTGATTTCTCAGCAACTTCATGTTCTGGAACTCTTGGGTTCCTATTTCTATGTACCAAATGTAGGAATCTGACATTAGTTTCCATGTTAGGATATTGTTTATATTTCAGTGGCTCCCACTAGTGCTCTGTATGTTAAAAAAAAAACAACAAAAAACAACTCTTGTATGTACTGTGCCTCAGGTACTGTGTTCATTAATGTTTTCTGCAGGATTTAAATTATTGTGAATATGAGAAGAGATCATAGAAATAGTTGTCAGAGTTTAGAGGAAATGAGTGCTCCTTCTGAAGTCTTTGAGATTTTTTTAATGTGTTGCTCACATCCAGAATTAAGCAGGACCCACACTGCTATGCCAAGAAGCTTGTTCAGTCAAGCCAAAAAAGCCCAAATAAACGTTAATTTTGTGAGTGGAAGTTTCCTTTGGGCGAGTTGAGGGGAGAGTGAAAATATATGTAATTTAGTATGGAAAAACTACTTTCAGTTTTGGTTGTGCCAATAAGTTTCTGCTTTATCTTGAGGCTGATTAATGAGTTACAAATTTGCTTGCCAGTAACTCACACAACACCAGCCAGCAGTGTTGCTACCACTTTCCTTGTAGCCTGGCTATTCTTTAGCTTTAAGTCAACTGCACTTTGAAGTGAGTTATTAAGGAGTGTTTTATTTATCCAGAGAAACCAAGGGTAGCTTGTCACCTAGTTACAAATTTGCTTGCCAGTAACTCACACAACACCAGCCAGCAGTGTTGCTACCACTTTCCTTGTAGCCTGGCTATTCTTTAGCTTTAAGTCAACTGCACTTTGAAGTGAGTTATTAAGGAGTGTTTTATTTATCCAGAGAAACCAAGGGTAGCTGGTCACCTTGGCACAGTGTGTTAGCTACAGTGTGTGGTAGTTGGGAGTGGGGCTGAGGCTGAGCCCCATCCCTGAGGAGCTCCAGCTGCACAGAGCAGGTGAACGCACTGAAGAGGTTTTGTTGAGGGAAAAGAAGCGGTAGACACTTGAAGCCTTCTCGAGTTGTATGGTGTTATTTTGTGTAGCATGGCTGTGTCAAAAGGAATGTATGCTGACTGTGACACTGCTGCCAATGTAGCTGTACAGGAACGTTCAGACACAGACAGAGCCCAGCATGACTATGAGACCTACAGGTACCGACGGCCTGCTCCGGACCGGAACTATTCTCGACACAGGAGTACAGGTGAGCCCCTGGGGACATAATGGGGAATAACTTATCAAGTGAAGGACAGCTTGTTTTATCTACATGGAAAGCTTTGTTGGAAAGAAAAGGCATTGAGAGTACTGAATACGCCCTTTGTATTATTTTACACTTGGCACAGTCACCAGATTTTGAAAGTGATGCAAATACTGCTTTTAGTGTTGTAGTCTGGAAAGAAATTAGGGAGAGACTGTGAGACATGGTACCAAAAGGGGACAAGGTGGCTTAGATTTGGCTACCACCTGGAAATTGCTCTGTGAGACTTGAAAAGAATGGAAAAGAGAGCAGGACAAGAGAGAGCAGGAAGTGGAAGGACAATCAGAGCCTGAGATCCTGAAGAACTGAGCAGGCAGCCTAAGAGCCTAAAAGCACACCAGGCAAATGAAGACTGTAGGAGCCTAAAAATCCAGAGGGGTTATAGGTAAGCAGACCTGAGAGCATAAAAGTCTGGACAACTTATGAGACATTATCCCCAAGAAGAAGGGTGCTGGTTATGAAGAATGGATGCTACAGGCTCTGCTTATTTGGTACAAACAAAATAGAGTGAGGCTATGCAGCCTGCTTCTTTGGAAGGAGGTGGCTTGGGAGCTAAGATACACACTGTCTTTCTATATAAAAATATGGGAGTTTAGGGAAACAGCAGAGACCTCAACTACAGAAGGATGTAGATCAAAGCAGGGGATTGACAAGAGTTTTCCTGATATGCTATGGAGATTAGAGAAGTTCATTTGAGAATCAATAATATAGTCTTCTGCAGATAAAGGTTTGGATGAGATGCTATAATGGACCTAGTATTAAGGATGTGTTCTGAGTGATGTGAATCTGTTCCATAAATGTTTGTTGTGTATTTGAAAAAGGATTGTTAACTTGGAATTACAGAGGTGTTAATGAAGCTGTATAGTTCTTATTGTTGTTTGAGGTGTATGGCTGTTGATGAATTGTATAGCTGTTAATTTTGTTAATGTCTTAGTGTATTACCTTTAGCTTAGCTATTCTTGTGTGTTGCCTTATAAAGATATACAGTTATTGATATTGTCAATATTCTACGAACGCAAGTGTAAAGATTTAAATGATTTGGGATGAGAATCAAGGTCGGTACACAGTCACATTCCAGAGTTAATGGAACCTACACAAGGGATAATTTTATACCATGTTTTCTGTTTCTCCTGAAAGGGCCCTGTAAAGAAATAGCAGACAAAGTCTTTATTTAAAAGGAAAAAAGGGGAGGAACTGTGAGTACAGAGTTTGTGATAATTGGGAGTGGGGCTGTGGCTGAGCCCCATCCCTGATGAGCTCCAGCTGCACAGAGCAGGTGAACAGCACTGAAGGCAATGAGACCTGGAGTGCCCAGGTGTAGTGACAATCACAGAGGGTACAGAGGGCACACAGGTGTAAGGCAGGTGAAGTGAAGGGGATCAGAGGCTGTGCTGAGGAAGCAGAAGGGGCAGACAGTTGAAGCCTTCTGACATTGTATGGTGTTATTTTGCTTTTATTTAAAATAAAAAAAAATAAGGGGGGGGTGTGAAATTGTAGATACAGAGTTTGTGGTGATTGGGAGTGGGGCTGTGGCTGAGCCCCATCCCTGAGGAGCTCCAGCTGCACAGAGCAGGTGAACAGCACTGAAGGCAATGAGACCTGGAGTGCCCAGGTGTAGTGACAATCACAGAGGGTACAGAGGGCACACAGGTGTAAGGCAGGTCAGGTGGAGGGGATCAGAGCTTGTGCTGAAGAATGGCAAAGGATTGAAGCCTTCTTGAGTGTATGGTGTTATTTTGTGTATCACAGCAGACTTGAAGGCTGCAGATTATAGCCTTTCTGACGTGTGTGATTTGGGTGGGGATGAAGAGCTGTGTCGCCTTCTGAAAAGCCAAGAGATG